GGAGCGCCCACTTCTGTGGCGTCTCATCGGCCATCTTACCTCATCCCCTTCTCTCCTTACGGGTGCACAGCTTCCCACCCCTTTGTTCAATCCATGGTTCAATATGGTAGGATAGTTCTGTTAATAAGTGACATGGTGTTTCTGGCTCTGTTATATATATTTGCATGCACTGCTCGAAAATGCTGGATTGGATAGAAATTGTAGCGCCCACTTCTGTGGCGTCTCATCGGCCATCTTACCTCATCCCCTTCTCTCCTTACGGGTGCACAGCTTCCCACCCCTTTGTTCAATCCATGGTTCAATATGGTAGGATAGTTCTGTTAATAAGTGACATGGTGTTTCTGGCTCTGTTATATATATTTGCATGCACTGCTCGAAAATGCTGGATTGGATAGAAATTGTACCAAAGATGCTCTGATGTGCTAATTTAATTGCACTCTCCTAGTTCTTTTGAACCTCCCAGAGCTAGAGCAGCCACCCCTTTGTTCAATCCATGGTTCAATATGGTAGGATAGTTCTGTTAATAAGTGACATGGTGTTTCTGGCTCTGTTATATATATTTGCATGCACTGCTCGAAAATGCTGGATTGGATAGAAATTGTACCAAAGATGCTCTGATGTGCTAATTTAATTGCACTCTCCTAGTTCTTTTGAACCTCCCAGAGCTAGAGCAGGTGATTCTCATTTCCTTGTGCTCCAACGTCTGTCTCTCTGGATCTGCAGCCTGCACTTTGTTAGCTACTTAGACTGTAAGCTCCTTGGGACAGAGGCTGGGTTTAATTCTATGTTTGTACAGTGCCTAGAGCCATTGGCTAAGGCACCCAGGTGTTACAGAAACACAAATAATGGGTAATAATGATTCCGTGGACTAGAAGAGGTTTTCCAGACACCACAAAATCATGGTCCAAAATTTCTCATCATTTGGCAATTACCCCAGAGTATAGAAGATGCAAAGATTCCTATAATATCTACAGTCCCATTAGAAATCTGCTATACTGAATTACAAGCCCTCTCCACTAAAATAGCTTTAGAGAGCCTTTTGTCCACAAATAACTTACATGGTGTTTTGGTATCTTGGAAAAATCAAACACAGCCAGCAAGCAATAATGGGAAAGACCTTGATTATTAACTCCAACCCATATTCATTCTAGAAGAATCAACCTTCATGCGTGCCTTTCCCTTATTAATTGTGCAGAGAATGAATGAAGCGTATATGCTGTACTGCATGAGTTATATCCTCGGATGGATTTTACCATACACTGGAACAGTGATGCTGTTGATGTACTCTGTACTTAGCTATAGTTATTCGGTGTATGTTGCTGGCATTGCATGCGTAATTCCTTGCTCTGTGAATTTCAACAATAATAAAATAGAAAACAATAATCAGTTATGGACAAGTCCTTTATTAAAATAATTCTCTGGACAAAATCTTTAAAGTAGAAAAAGAAATGAGGGATGTAAATGGTTAAGCAGTTTACTGGTATACATCACCCTTACCAGTTATGGCTCCAGCCCCAGAGGGCCTGCTGGGGGTGGGGGCCCTCCAGTGTGGCCAGAGCAGCCCCTTCCTGCTCCCATTTAATCGATTAGCTAACCGGTGGCACCAGATGTTCAGTTAATTAAATGGGATTCTCCATCCCTAAGAGAAGTGACTCTTGAAATACTGTTTGATTTTTTAAGTGAGAAAGGACGACCAGGAGGCACAGATTTTTAAGACAAGAAGAGACACTTCTGACCACCAGTCAGGTCTTCTGCCCAGCGCAGATCAGGGCTGCATGACTGAGCCCCGTGACTGGCGATGAGAGGCAAGCCAAGACAGGTACTCCCTTGGCCTGCTGAATTCATGGCAATGCCATCAGAACAAAGGGAAATTCAGTTCCTAAGGAGCTGATGCACCTGATAGGGAATAAGACGGAGAATATCTGCACTAGTTAGGCCTCAGCTGGAGTACTGTGTCCAGTTCTGGGCGCCACATTTCAAGAAAGATGTGGAGAAATTGGAAAGGGTACAGAGAAGAGCGACAAGAATGATTAAAGGTCTAGAGAACATGACCTATGAAGCCAGGCTTCATGAACTGGGCTTGTTTAGTTTGGAAAAAAGAAGATTAAGGGGGGACATGATAGCGGTTCTCAAATATCTAAAAGGGTGTCACAAGGAGGAAGGCGAAAATTTGTTCCTCTTGGTTTCTGAGGACAGGACAAGGAGTAATGGGCTTAAAGTGCAGCAGGGGAGGTTTAGATTGGACATTAGGAAAAATTTCCTAACTGTCAGGGTGGTCAAACATTGGAATAAATTGCCAAGGGAGGTGGTGGAATCTCCCTCTCTGGAGATATTTAAGAACAGGTTAGATAGACATCTGTCAGGGATGGTGTAGACGGAGCGTGGTCCTGCCTTGAGGGCGGGGGGCTGGACTCGATGACCTCTCGAGGTCCCTTCCAGTCCTATGATTCTATGATTCTATGATTATTGCCCTTATATAAATCCATGGGACGCCCACATCTGGAATACTGCGCACAGATGTGGTCTCCATGTCTCAAAAAAGATATACTGGGAAAAGGTTCAGAGAAGGGCAACTAAAATGCTGAGGGGTTTGGAACAGGTCCCATATGAGGAGAGATTAAAGAGACTGGGACTTGGCAGCTTGGAAAAGAGGAGACTGAGAGGGATATGATAGAGGTCTATAAAATCATGAGTGGTGTGGAGAGGGTGAATAAAGAAAAGTTATTGACTTGTTCCCATAATAGAAGAACTAGAATCCACCAAATGAAATTAAAGGGCAGCAGATTTAAAACAAATAAAAGGAAGTTCTTCTTCTCACAGTGCATAGTCAACCTGTGGAACTCCTTGCCAGAGGAGGTTGTGAAGGCTGGAATGTAACAGGGTTTAAAAGAGAACTAGATATATTCATGGAGGTTAAGTCCATTCATGGCTATTAGCCAGTCTGGGTAAGGAATAGTGTCCCTACCTGTGTTTGTCAGAGGGTGGAGATGGATGGCAGGAGAGAGATCGCTTGATCACTACCTGTTCGATTCACTCCCCCTGGGGCACCTGGCACTGGCCACTGTGGGCAGACGGGGCACTGGGCTGGATGGACCTTTGGTCTGGCCCAGTCTGGCCGCTCTGATGTTCGTCTGCTCTCCAGGCAAAGGTTGATCTGGCCAGGCCAGGCGGGTTCCTGGTCACACGCCCTGTGCAATGTGCAATGTGCAGGGCAAGGAAGAATGTGTTTGCGAGGATTCTCTCGTGGGCGCCCGTCAATACCACGAGGAGAAGGTCTGCACGGCTGGAGCTGGGCCAGTGCGCCATGCAATTCCTGCACACAGCCTCCCTGTGGGCCCCTCCTAAAGCTCCCCCTGCGGGGCTGGGCTGGCTAGTTCCCAGTGCAAAAGGGAAGGGGGTGGGGCCATGAGCAATCAGGGCCCCAAGATCCAGTGCGCTCAGGAGCAATGCTGCAGGCCAGCCAGATTGACAGGGCGGGAGGCCAATGAGGGAGCCAGGAGGTCCAGCATGGCCCCTCCTCCGTGTGAGCTGGAATCACCTGGCTCAGGCAGAGTGGGGCCACCCTTACGTGCAGTGCACAGCACAGGGCACCGCAGGGTCCTAGTGCCCCCCCTCCCTGCCCTTCCTGCCCCTGTTCTGTGGCCCTGCTCCCTCCAGAGAGGAGCTAGTGAATCGAGGTGGCACCACCGGCCCGTGCCACAAGCAGCCCCCAAACCCATGGAAAAGCCAGTCAAGGGGCACTGGAGCCATTTCCCAGGCATTTGCCAGCCCCGGGTACATCCTGTCCCCCTCCCAGGGTGCGTCTACACTAGCCCCTAGTTCGAACGAGGGAGGCTAATGCAGGCATTCGAAGTTGCCAATGAAGCCCGGGATTTAAATATCCCAGGCTTTATTTGCATCTTCCCGTCCGGTCGCTATTTTTAAATCCCCTTAGTCTGAACTAACTGCCCCGTTCGGCCTCACGCTCCTTTTCACGTGGTCACCGTTCCATCGGCCGTATTCGCACTGACCTACAGGCAGTGCCCGGGGAGAACAGAGCCCCCAGAGCGGGGACACCCGGCCCCTGCCCGAGGTCGGGGGTCAGCCCCCAGGACTCCTGGGCCCAGCCGTGATGGGGTTATGGGGACTCCGCCACGCAGGAAGTGGAAGGGGAGCCTCCGAGGGCAGGGAGGCCTCTGGGTACAGGGAGCGGGAGCAGGGACTCAGATCCTTCACTGGCCCCTTTCACCGGGGTCACGTAGAAGTCAGGAAAGTTCCCCTCGATAGCGGGACCCTCCCAGACGCCGCTAGAGCCGAGGGAGGATCAGTCAGTTTATGCTGGTCGCAGCTGGCTGCCGAGTGCCACAAAATCATTAGGACACAGCTGCAAATTTCGGAGTCCTCCCCTATCCAGCCGAAGGCCGCGGAGGCCCCAAGGGCGCTCTTGTATCTGTCCCGTGATGGAGCGAGCGCCCAGAGATGAGTCGCCTGGTGCGCAGCCGCGCTGGGGGGGGCTTTCACAAGGCTTGCAACACACTGGCTCCGTAACGAGGCCACAGGGTGGGGAGACACGGGCTCTGTTCCTGACTCTACGGGGAGCCTTGGACACGTCCATACCTGCCGCCATGCCTCACTGTCGCTCTTCGCGAAAACAAAATTAATTAATTCATTCATGAGTCTCACTTCCCGTGGGGCCTGGTGATGGAAGCCGCCCTGTATTCATGCCGGCACTTGCAGTGAGAGACCCGGGCCTGGTATGCAGCACGCTAATAGCTCCCTGGTGCCCGGCGACACCCTACTGTACACCTGAGAGAGTCTGTCTGCTTGAACAAGGGCTCCTCCTGCATGAGAAGGGCTGGGCTGCCAAATCCGTCCACAGCTTCCTCTCGGCGTAACGCAGCGTACGGGCTTGGTTGCCAGGGAAACGGGATGGTCCAGAAATGTGCAGGGTGCAGGAGTCAGGGGAGGAGGTTAGGCGTGCGGGGGGCTCAGGGCCGGGGATGG